ACCGGAATGTACCCCCTTGGATGGAGAGGGCGAAATCGATAAGCGAGCGTTTGATTACTGGAAAAATATTTTCCATCCATCGAACAAAATAATCAACGGATGAACAGACCATGTTTGGTTTGTTTAAGATCAAGACAGGACCAAAGTTGCGAGACATATTTATTACAACAGTATCTGGACCGGGAATGTCGTGTGAGGTAGCGGCTCTATTTTCAAATGCTATGGAGCGTCTAAACGATTATTTCGACTCCAGGACAAATATCCTTGCCCAGAGAGGCAAATTGATGAGTCTGTCTCAGAATGCTACTGATAATAGTATGCAGCTCGTGCGGCGAGTGAGTACCGCTGCAAAATTGTGCAACTACACGGACGATGAAGAAATGGAGCCTTGGACAGTCGAGTTCGTGTTTTGGCCCATCGAAACTGGGTAAAATAAGGTTCGATGAAAGACCTCACCGACCTTGTTCGTGATCTAGAGCTGGAAAAGGCAAACGAGGAAGAATTTCAAAGGAATCATGACAAGGTTGAGGTGGCTAAGGTAGCGGCCATATCACAGCAACCATACGGAACACCCTGGCAAAGTCAAGGCAACTTTCGTCCAAATTTGCGATTCGGTGGACAAAGAAGTGTTCGCGGTTTTGGCCGAGGTGGTGGCCGTGATTTTGGTCGAGGTAGAAGTGCAGTGTCTCGCAATCATATCCGTAATTACGAGTCTGGCTCCGTCAACAATTGTTGGAGATGCGGAAGTATTTTCCATCATCCAAACCAATGCCCTGGAATGCAGAAGGTGTGTCACAATTGTGGAAGAATGGGCCACATTGCTCGTATTTGTCCTTCAATGAAAAATCAGGCTGCGCATCCAAATCTGTTAAAACGAAGATATCACCAGTGAGGTACGTGGTGATAACAAAAGTGCTTAAGTGATTTCATTTTTTTATGTATAACTTACACGTAACGTATGGTTACTTTCTTGAAAAAAAAAAATATTTATAGATATATATTATATATATTTGATTGAATTTGAATAAAAATTAAATGAAAAAAAAAAATTAACACTCCAGTAAAGTTTTTGATAGACTCAGGCGCCCACGTCAACACCATTACAAGAGTATCGTTTGAGCAGATTCTAGCAAATATGAACAGCAGAATCAATATACATGCTTTGCAATATTCAACGGATAAAAGACTAAAGGCGTACGCTTCCGATGGCGAAATCAAGGTCATCGCCAATTTTTTGGAGGATAGGCCGATTATGGTTGAAAATTTTTACGTGGTCGATGAAGCAAGAGCACTGTTAGGATTCAATACAGCAGTTAGATACAGCGTGCTTTCAGTTGGTTTGGAAGTTCCTGAGTATCCTTCGAATGCAAACGCACCCTGGAAGTGTGAACTAAGCATAGCTAGGTGTTCGGAATTCCAAAACCCCTCATTGGTGAAAGAGTTTCCTAAATTCAACGTACCTCCAGTTTCGTTGAATTTTGATAAGAGTATGCCCCCATCGCGCAATATTTACACACATATTCCCGCGGCATTCAAGGACCTCACGAAACAAAATTTAAACAAACTTCTGTCTGCTGGCATAATAGAAAGAGTTACTACTGATATGGATAGATCGTTTTGTTCGTCCTTGTTGTTCCTAAAGGGAAGAACGACATTCGATTGGTAATTGATCTTCGAGGGCCTAATAGATGCATTAATCGCACGCCGTTCAAGATGCCCACGTTCGAATCAATTCTTATGGATCTCCATGGAGCACAGTGCAAAAGAGCAAAAGAGATTGAGCTTGCCGACTTCCTCCGTAAGCATAGCATCGACGTGGGCCTTCTAACCGAGACCCATCTAAAGTCCGGCGACAGCTTCTGGTTGACTGACCACAACATTATTCGGCTTGATCGCACCAGCTCCAGGGGGGATGATGTTGCGGTCGTCGTTAAAAAAGGAATAAAATACCACACTCTGTCACATATCCGCACCTCTATCATCGAGGCCCTTGGTGTGGAGGTAGAGTTGTCGACTGGGTATGTCCAGCAGTGGACTAGCGGCTAAATTCAAGAAGGACCTGTCCACCATCACCCGTACCGGTTCCCGCTTCGTAGTCGAAGGAGATCTAAATGCTCGCCATGAGGCCTGGCGGAACTACCAGCAGAACCAGAACGGTCGTCTGCTGTTCGACCACTCGCAGCATGGGCTGTACTCCGTTTGGTTTTAGAATGAGCCAACATTCATCTCACTGGCGGTCAACCCATCGACACTAGACCTGTTCCTGTCAAATACCAGCTTGTCCAAGCCGGTAGCCTTGAACGAACTCAGCTCCGACCACCAACCGGTGGTGGCTGAACTGGGCTACAACGTGGCCCCTGCTCCAAGTCTGCACAAGGACTACCACCGCGTAAACTGGGCCCAGTTTGGACGCGTGGTAGACAGACACATCATCGACAACCCGCCGCTTAACACCGTGGAGGACATCGACCGAGCGTTCATAACCGTAGCTCACGAGGCGTGCGTCCGACGAGTTCCTGTGAGGGGTAAGTTTATTGCCATTGATTCCCACACCCAACTTTTGATTCGCCTGAGAAATGTTCGTAGACGCCAGTTTCAGAGGACTGGAGATCTGGGCAAAAAACGTGAAATGGCCGATCTGAACAGACATATTGCTTCCAGAATGGACTCACTCCGAAATGAAAGTTTCGGGCGTGTTGTCCAGAATCTGGACGACCGCTCCAGACCATTCTGGAAGGTAGCCAAACTCATTCCACCTCTCAGAGTCGAAAATGATGACGATCGGCTTTTAATCACCCCACAGGAGAAAGCAAACGCGATCGGCGAGCATGTCGCTTCATCGCATTTGCTTGGCTCGAATATCCAAAGTCCGCTCGAAGATCAGGTTGCGCAATGTGTTCAAAACCTAGATGCCTCCCCTTGTGTCGTGCGTCCGGTGGATATTATTACAGTACAACAGATTTGCTCAGCGCTGAAATGCACCAAGAACAGGAAGGCTCCCGGGTTTGACGGTATATTCAACTTGATCTTGAAGAGACTCAGCATGAAAGTGCAGTCTCTTCTAACCGCTATCTTCAACAGATGTTTGGAACTACACTACTTTCCAAGCATCTGGAAAGTAGCAAAAACCATACCAATCCGCAAACCCGGTAAGGATCCAACATTGTCTTCAAGCTACAGACCAATCAGCCTCCTTTCAGCGCTGAGCAAATTGTTGGAGAAACTCATTCTCAATCGTTTGCTCAAGTTTGTCGAGGAAAATAACATTCCGGAACAGTTTGGGTTCAGAAAGGGGCACTCCACCAAGTACACCAGCTAGTACGGGTGATGGATAACATCCGAAGAAACAAAGCTGTATCCAAGTCCACAGCCATGGCCTTGTTAGACGTTGAAAAGGCGTTTGACAATGTTTGGCATGACGGACTTGTGTACAAGCTTTGTAACTTCAACTTTCCTTCACATCTGGGTAAAATCACCCGAAACTACCTCCAGCAAAGGTCGTTTAAGGTATCGTTGAATGCCAGTGCGATTGACCGCATGAATCAGCGAGGGCCGAAGAGAATTCCGACCCTCATTTCAGCTGACGAGCAGCAACCCGGCAGATTCGTGAAGCCGTTACCCCTGGTTCACGACACATGCTAGCTAAAGTGTTGAATTTTCCTGGAAATACCGTATGGTGCGAGCTCAACCCGTATAAGGAAACCTTGACGACGAATCGGAAGCCTCAAAGTAAACGGCGGAGTGGAACTGCCAACCGTTAGTTCCATGGAAAGGTCGTGAGGTCCATCAGAAGCAACCCAGGTATGTCCGATCGCGATTTGAGTAAAAAGTATGATGCCACCCGTAGTACAGTGCAGCGAATTTGCTACCGCGAAGGCTAACAGGCACATCGCGCCAGTAGGCAACCAAATCGATCACTCAAGCAGAATACCGCAGTAAGATCCCGTGCTCGAAAGCTGTATGACAAGCTGCTGACCAAGTCCGGTGGGTGCATACTTATGGATGATGAAACCTACATAAAGGCCGACTTCGGACAGCTTCCAGGACCAACATTTTACAAGGCGAAGGCTCGAGGAGGTGTCTCTGGCAGAGAATTTGCAGCTGTGGCCAGCAGACAAAGGTTTTCGTCGCTGAGAAAATGATGATCTCGGAGGTTTACAAAACCGAATGTCTCCAGAAGCGAATTCAGCCCTTCATCCAGTCACAGTGGTCCGGTGACATTTTGGCCGGACCTTGCGAGTTGTTACTACAGTCAGGAAGTACAACGATGGTACAATGTCAACGAATTCCGGTTTGTCTCGAAAACCCTCAATCCGCCTAATTGTCCGCAGTTCAGATCTATTTAAAACTACTGGGCAATTATCGTCATTATGGAGGTACAGTCATCAAAACGGCAGCTCAGATGAAAAATCGCCACAACAGTCTACTTGACGTTGTGCGCCGCTTGATTGGTCGTAATAAGGGAAAAGTTCGAGAATTCCTTTGAAACCGTGACGGAGGAGGAATAGTATGCACTTGAGTGAAAACCGTTTTCAAATCCGAAATAGACCCAAATGATGTTGTTCCATTACTAAGTGGGCCATGCTTTATGAGTGCGCATCAAAATGAGCTCAACTTTTGTGAGAACGATCGGGACCTAATTTGGTGTCGATTGAGGGGGTTGAAGCACCCTATTGGTTACCAACATTCATTAGGTTGAAAGATCGTTTGTTGTTCAGTAAATGGTGGTTAGCTTGGTATGACACTAGATGTATGCAATTGGGGTTGAAATTCATCGAATTTAAACCAATCTTCTAATATGTACGTCACGCTCTAAGGGGGAGGGGGCTCAGAAATTTGTGACAACCAATGTATAAGGTTATTTTTTCTAGAATTTCACGTGACGTTCTAAAATGGATGCTGCCAAGTAGGTAAGTCAGGTAGCTCACGATTTTCTTGTCCTGATTTCCTTGGGCTATAACTACGGTGACCTTTTGAAAGCTAAGTGGAAGAATACTCACAGCAATTTTCAATTTGTATCGAATCAATCCGCTTCTTCATCCAATTTATCGTGGCCCTTACCGAAGAGCTCTCGCACTGCCATTGGTTTTCGTAAAGTTCGATGATACGGAGCCGTTTCAAAGGAACGAATGGTTCCTTCGGTAGTGTGATCATAAGATTTTGGGAAAGATCCAGCGTGGTAAGCTTCGGCATGTACCCGAACAAGCTGTCGTACAGTTGTGGAATCTTGCACGCACTTAGATCGAGGTTCTGCAAAGGGATCAGTTGATCAATTTTAGTAACCAGTTTAGTTAGTATTGCCATTAGCCTATATGCATACCATAATAGAAGGACTGTTGAGAAATGGCTGATTCTGCATTGTCATGAAGTTGTTATTCGATAAATTCAGCTCTATGAGAAGCTCGTTGCTCTCGAACAGATCCTCATTTAGCTGTTCCAGTCTATTATGAGACAGATCCAGGATGTGCAATTCTCTCAAACTGGAAAACGCGTACAGCGAAATGGTTTGGATAGAATTCTCCGAGAGGAACAATTTTACCAAATGCGTATATTCCTGTAATTATGAAAGAATATTAGTCATTTGGATGCATCATTGCAACTTCACACCGCTTGCAGTTCACCTTGAAGTCATCGTTGCCGATCGACGATATCTTGTTAATGCTTAAATCCAATATTTCCACACTAGTTGGCACGTCGGTGTATGCGTTGATTAGGTTCTCATGGCTGAAAATGAAAGGAACTATACATGTTTTATCGCGCTTTCCGATTCCAGTTAAAAACACTGATAAGGCGTCCCCAGTGCAGAGCGCATTGAGGACATTTCATTTGGAGAAATGGAATTTCGTCACGTTACCCATTGCAATAGGAAAAGAGGGAAATTTTTGCCCGAAATACCTGCAATCAGCTCGCTTCAAACTGTCGACCATATCACAGGTGCACATTCTTGGACAAAAATCCGATTGAGGTCCACTATGATCACTTTTGGCATTGGTTCCCGTGATTGTGAATAGAAAACTTAAAGCTAAAACACTACTTATTACTACCACTTTGAACTCCATAATTACTTCTGTTAAACTGAACAGTTTATCACAAATTTTATCTTTTTTATTTTACTGTTGACTGACTTAAGGCAGGGAAATCACATTTTCACCAGAACCAATTTCAATATAAAAAACGATCTAAAGGGTGTTCCCTCTGTCCATGGCTAAACTCGAATGAGAAAATTAGTCAACCTGGTCATTCGCACTACAGAAAAAAAGCTGTTACACACTGCAAATGTGTGTTGTATCAATATGTAGATGGATAAGATAACGAATTCTGCTCTGTAAAGGTGAGGGAGCCTAACGGATGGTGTGCTGATAACAATACCAAACAGTTGACCACACAAAACAAACGGGTATATAATCATTAGTACCTACCTACCTGCGTTGTGTCGTCACCAGTTCATAGAGTGGGTATGAGTAACACAGATCAGTCCATCAAACGTGAATGTGACGCGAGTACACTAGGTCAGTGGATGACGTTTTATGGAATTGGTTAATGGTTGGCCGTTATGATAAATTTGATTTGTTTTTGTTAGAGATATCCCCTACCCATCCCACATAATCTGTGAACTTCCTTTAAAAACTGTGGACAAATTTCATTGTAAATTTCCCCAGCCGGCGCCGGTGGTGTAGTGGTAAGCGTGACTGCTTTCTCACCCCAATGGGTCTGGGTTCAATCCCAGTCGAGGTCGGTGGGTTTTTTCTGAGGCATGAAAATCTCTGGTCACGTCTTCCTTCGGAAGGGAAGTAAAGCCGTTGGTCCCGGCCCATGTGTGTTGAAAATGGGTGCGATATCCTACACAGATGTGGAAGTTGCCTTCCTGCACATTCGATTGCCGTCAATGGATGGCAATCTATGTCCGTCGGTGATTGGCACTAGATTGCGGAACAGAGACCGACGTTAAATAAAGGAAAAAAAATTGTAAATTTCCCCTGTAAAAACTCGCATCAACTTATCGCTGATTTTCTAGGACAGAACAATTTAACCATTTTTGGCCTTCTGAGTTAAAATCTGGAAAATAGTGTTGTTCTAACACGTAACGTTTTTAGTTACTGCTCTCTTTATGAGGCTGAACAATTTTAACAATTTAAACGCTTTACTCATTTCATTTATACAGCCTAAAGCTGCATTCGAACATTATACGATATGAGGCAACCATTACTCAACCTCTTGGACCTTTTGTTATTGGACAACCTTTTCCCGGTTAAAGGCGACCGACAACGAGCGTGTTCTTGGCATCATGGTTGTGCTCCTACTTGACTGACAGGTCTCTGCGAGTGAAACTCGATTCCAGTTTTTCCTCGTATTTCACGAACTCGTCAGGTGTACCACAGGGTAGCAATCTTGGCCCGTTGCTGTTTGTGTTGTACATCAACGACGCACTTATTCTACTTGGAGATGGCTGTAATCTTGCGTATACCGATGACCTAAAGCTGTACTTCGTGGTGCGGACTGCTGAGGATTGCATTCGTCTTCAATCGGTATTGGATCTGTTCGTTGATTGGTGTCGTCGGAATAAGCTTACCCTCAGCATTCCTAAATGTATGGTAATGTCGTATTACCGCATCAGGCAGCCGATTGTTTTTGACTATGCCATCAACGGTGTGGTTCTTCAAAGAACCGACCAGTTCAGCGATCTTGGTGTTCTACTGGACCATAAGTTGACGTTCAACCTCCACCGCTCTGCTCTGATCACAAAGGCGAATCGCCAGCTAGGTTTTGTGTCGAAAATATCGAAGGACTTAATTGACCCACACTGCCTGAAATCTCTCTATTGCTCACTTGTGCGAAAATGCCTCCTTGGTCTGGTTTCCTCATCAGTTGACTTGGAGCTTGAGGATCGAAAGTGTTCAGCGCAAGTTTATCAGGATAGCATTACGTAATCTACCATGGCGTGATCCGCAAAATCTCCCGCCGTATTCTGATCGCTGCAATCTGCTGAGCTTGGATACTCTGGAATACCGACGGAAAAATCAGCAAGCAGTTTTTGTTGCCAAGCTATTGAATGGTGAGGTCGACTGCTCGAGGCTTCTCTCGCTGTTGGATATCCGAGTACCACCGAGAACATTACGAAGTGGTACCCTTCTCCAACCGCGGTACCATCGAACGGGGTTCGGTTACAACGAACCACTAACAACTATGATGCGTACGTTTACGGCTGTCGAAGAATTATTCGAATTTGGGGAATCTTCATCTCGCTTTTTGGCACGGATTAGAAACACTTGAATTGTTTTAGCTTTAAGGTTGTTTCATGTAGACAATAGTCCGATGAATAAAATTAAATAATAATAATAAAAAATTAAATAATAATAATAATAATCATCTGGAGTCCATCTGAAGATGTGTTCGAATTTTCTACCAAAATGAGAGATGACCTGCTGCCGTACTTATTCGAAGGTAAGCGTCCTACTAAGCGGGTTGTCTGTTTGATCCGCTGGGTCTTCTGGTACCGTTTACGATATATGGACGGGTACTGATCCCAAATCTATGGAGGACTGGTTGTGAGTGGGATGATCCAATCGACGATGAGTCGGTGCAGAAGAACTTTGGCAATTGTGTGGGACTGGAGTAGGAGTCACTGCAACTACATATGTCTACGGATGCGAGTGAGTGCGCATATGGTTGCGTTGCGTATTTTCGAATCTTGGCCGGAGGTGTTCCGTGGTGTTCATTGGTTCAAGCCAAGTCGAAGGTGGTGCCACTCAAGCCGAGCACTATACCACGGTTGGAGCGGATGGCTGCCGTACTCGGTGCGAGAATGGTGAGCACAATCAAGGAGAGTCATAATCTGGAAATAAAGAAGGTGTTCCTGTGGACTGATTGGCGTACCGTACATTCGTGGATCGTGTCCGATCTGTGGAAATACAGGATTTTCACTGCCCTCAGAGTCGGTGACATCCTAAACAGAACCATTGCGTCTGATTGGCACTGGGTGCCAACGAGGCTCAACGTGGCGGACGAAGTTTCGAAGTGGAACAACGGGCCGTAGCTTGGTTCAATGGTCCGGGGTTCTTGTACCAGCCAGAGGAAGAATGGCCGGCTCAGCCGGTAGTAAAGCCGAACACAAAAGAAGAACTTCGGGCTACGTTTCTGTTTCACGATCTGGATTTGCCGGAGCGCTTGATAGATGTGAGTAGAGTCTCCAAATGGAATGTGCTGGTGCGAACGTTGGCGTGTGTGCTTCGGTTCGTAGGGAATGTTCGTAGGAAGCAACAGGGAAAGCAGATCGAAACCCTATCGACTGCATCTCAGATGCGTGGATTAGTGCGACGGATGGTTCCGACGAAGGAACAGCCGCTGAATCATAAGGAGTTTCAAGAAGCTGAAATTCTTCTATGGAAACTGGCACAAGCGGAGCGGTTTGCAGCGGAAATCCGGATTCTCCGACAGAAAACCGCCGGTACCATCAACAATCAATACGAAAGTAACGATTTTAAATTGGCTCACTACTTGACTAGCCTACTGGTCCCAAGCAAACGATTTACGTACCCCATTCTAGTAGAAATTCTAGTACTACACAATGTTTGTTTTGATTCACTATGAAAGTTTGACAGATAAAATGGGGGGTTATTGGTTTTTCCTATGTTTCGAGGGGTGAATCGATTAGCTTGGGACCGAAGAGAGTACCAGAGCTGAGCCAAAAAGTTGAGCACGTTTCTTCGGGACCTTCTAGTCTTATAGTACGTTCAGACTACAGAGTTATAACAACAATCAATACGAAACTAACGATTTTAAATTGGCTCACCACTTTAGTAGCCTATTGGTCCCAAGCAAACGATTAACGTACCCTATTCTAGTTGAAATTCTATTACTACACTATGTTTGTTTTGATTCGCTATGAAAGTTTGACAGATAACATCAGGGGTGTGTGGATTCATGCAGAACATGCAGGGGTGAGTGAAATAGCTTGGGACTGCTTGGGACCGTTGTTCTGGTACTGAGTGAGCCAAAAATAATAATGATTTTCTTCGGGACCCAGTGGTCTTAGAGTTACCTCTATGGTTATAACATGTTATAGCGCTATATTGATGGTGGTTTCTGTGTTGCAATTATTTGACAACCGTTATAACATGTTATAACTCTCCAGTCTGGACAGCGTTTTAGAGTTACCTCTATGGTTCGATCCTGCCCAAGGCTGACAAGGATAGTGACCTGTACAAACTATCTCCAGTCATCGACGAGTTAGGAATGCTCCGGCATGAAGGCATTACAAAGGAAGCGAGTTCGAGTTACGATTTCCCATCATTCTTCCAAGAGGACATCCGATCACCATCAGGTTATTGGAATACTATCATCAAAGATTCAGCCATGCAAACCGAGACACTGTTACGAACGAGTTGCGGCAGAGGTTCTACATCCCGTATATGAGAGCGCAGCTGAAGAATGTGATGCGAGAAGGCATATGGTGTAAGGTGCACAAATGTCGGCCAAGAATTCCACGAATGGCACCGCTTCCGGTTCAACGGCTTACTCCAAATTTGCGTCCGTTTAGTTTCACGGGGTGGACTACTTCGGTCAGGTCGTAGTCAAAGTCGGCCGTCGCACAGAGAAACGTTGGGTGCCTTTGTTCACCTGTTTACGAACTAGAGCCGTCCACTTAGAAGTAACACACGGCTTGTCAACACAGAGTTGTCTAATGGCTATCCGTCGATTCGCTTGCAGACGTGGAATGCCGATTGAATTCTTTTCCGACAATTGTACAAACTTCGTCGGTGCGAGCAAAGAAGTAACCAGAAGGATACACGAAGAATGTTGTGATACTTTTACTGACGCCAGGACAAGATGGAGTTTCAATCCTCCTTCTGCTCCGCATATGGGTGGTGTCTGGGAAAGACTCGTCCGTTTCGTGAAGGAAGCGATGAAGGTTTTCGATGATGGTCGCCGGTCGGAAGTTGATAGACGAGATCCTGCTGACCACCCTAGCTGAAGATGAGGATTTGATAAACACGAGGCCGCTGACATACGTTCCGCAGGAATCAGCAGAGGTTGAAGCATAGAGGTAACTCTAAGACCACTGGGTCCCGAAGAAAATCATTATTATTTTTGGCTCACTCAGTACCAGAACAACGGTCCCAAGCAGTCCCAAGCTATTTCACTCACCCCTGCATGTTCTGCATGAATCCACACACCCCTGATGTTATCT